CTCTTTAGAAGTTGGCCATCCATCCATCGGGTGTCTGCATTTACCGGGTGGGGCCTTCCTTTCTGTCTCCCTGTGCCTTCTCCCCTCCCACCGGTTTCTCTCTTCCCTGCCTTTGTCCTCTCGCCCTCTTTTCCTATCTCCTCAATCTTTCATTCAGTCTTTCATTCTGCCTTTGCTTGTTGATTGAGCCTCCAATTCACAAGTTCCCATCCTCGCTTTCCTCCTATTTGGGTGGCCCCTGCTATAAGGGCCGCTTGCTGGCTGCCCTTTATGAAGTGGACCCATTCCCACCCCCTTCACTGACCAGTTCCTGAGCTGAGTCAAGCTAAGCCCACTTGGATGTTTCCTGCCAACTAGATAATGTATTCACATTTGCTGTTTTCACAGCTTTATTGAGGCGTAATCACATACTATAAAGTCCAACCATTTTAAGTACACAGTTCAACGACTTTTGGCATTTATATATGGCATATAATCACTACCAAAATGAAGATTTAGAATATTTGCATCACCTCACAAAGTTTTCCTGTGCCCCTTTTGCAATCCTCTCCCCCCACACCCCTGGCCTCCTGGTGACCCTTAATCTGTTTTCTGTCACTACAGTTCTGGGGGTTTTGTTTATTTTTTATAATTTCACATAACCGACATCATATGGTATGTAGTGTTTTGTATCCCGGATCTTTTACTTCGGATGATGTTTGTGGAGGTTCATCCGTGTGGTCACATTTATTGCTGAGGGATATTCACTGTGGTTATACCCCAATTTGTTTACTGAATCACCAGTTGATTGATATTTGGATGGAAAATGAATAAAGCTGACATGAATACTCAAGTACACGTCCTTGCGTAGGCACAGATTTCATTTCTCTTGAGTAGATACTTGTGAGTACGATTGCTGAGTAGTGTGGAAAGTGTATTTTTAACTTTGTGAGGAATGCCCCCCATCTGTTTTCCGACATGGTTACACCATTGTGCATTCCCATCAGAAACGTATGAGAATTCTAGCTGCTCTACATTCTCACCAACACTGGGTATGATCAGTCTTTTTAATTTTAGCCATTCTTATTATGATTTTAATTTGCAGTTCTTTGATAATTACTGATGTTGAGAATCTTTCCATTTGCTATTGGCTACTCAATATATCTTCCTTTGTAGTATCTGCTGCTACGCATCATTACTGGGTTGTTGGGGGATTTTTTTGTTTGTTTTTTGAGACAGAGTCTCAAGCTGTTGCCCTGGGTAGAGTGTTGTGGCGTCACAGCTCACAGCAACCTCAAACTCTTGGGCTCAAGCAATTCTCTTGCCTCAGCCTCCCAAGTGGCTGGGACTATAGGCTTCTGCCACAATGCCCGGCTATTTTTGTTGTTGTTGTTGTTTTTGTTGCAGTTTGGCCAGGGCTGGGTTCGAATCCACCACCCTGAGTATATGGGGCCAGCACCCTACCCACTGAGCCACGGCGCCACCCCTATTTTTTTTGTTGTTGTTGCCATTGTTGTTTAGCAGGCCTGGACTGGGTTTGAACCTACCAACCTCAGTGTATGTGGCCAGTGCCCTACCTGCTGAGCTACAGGCACTGCCCTATTGGGTTGTTTTTCTTCTTAGAATATATTTTAAGGGTTTCTTCTTCTCTGCTTCCCCTATCCCTCCAGGTCTATCTTTCTCCCAGGTGTCTCTGTCCTAGTTTGACCCTGACCCCATTCTCAGGGTCTTCCACCACCTTGCCATCTTCTTCTGTGCCTCTTCCTCAGATTCTTCCTTATCTTCTCCTGGACACCTCAAACCTGAGAATCTGACGTCCTTTTCCATCACAAGTCCACAGATTTCTGTCCTGGCCAGGGACAGTGTTCCAAATAGGGGGAAAGATGTGCCACCCACCACCCCACCACCCCCCCCCGATGAAGGCCCAGAGAAGTAAAAGAACGGAGCCTGGTGTAATGAAAAGATGGCTTTGCATTCTGGCATTTTCTCCCTCCCTAAATGATTAATGGTGTTTATGGATAGAAGCGCTTTTTATTAAAACATAACATTGGAAAGCCAGGGGTGTTAAGTGAGGTTCATCCTGCTTAATCAGTGGTCCAACAGTCTCCACAAACATAAGATTTGTTGTTCACATAACAAGGCTCTCCCTTGGCACATCTCCAAAGCCCAGCAGGATTTTACTGTGCCCAGTCATAGGGAAGGAGCAGCCTACCCCAAAGCCAGCTCCTTTTATGTCTGTTTGAAGGAATAGGTGTGAACACTATATGCTGTGTTAGAGTACCTCTGGTGCATGGTTTTGAAATGGTTTGGGTTTCTTTTTAATGCTTTATTGAGCTATAATTCACCTACCATAAAATTTACCCATTTAAAGTGTCCAATTCAGTGGTTTTCAGTATATTCACAGATACATGTAGCCATTACCATGTACTTAGAACATTTTATCACCTCACAAAGAAACCCAGTACCCTTTAACTATCACCCCATATTCCCCTACTCCCCCACCCCTAGAAACCACTGATCTACTTTCTATCTCCATAGATTTACCTCTTTGGTGCCTTTCATATAAATGAAATGAGGTAATATGTGGTCTTTTGTGTCTAGCTTCTTTTACTTAGCATAATATTTTCAAGGTCTATCCATGTTCTCCTATGCATCAGTACTTCATTCCTTTTTGTGGCTGAATAATATTCCACTATATGGCTATACTGTATTTTTTTATTATTCATCAGTTAAAAGACATTTGGGGTATTTCTACCATTTGATTATTATGAATAATGCCTCTGTAGACCTTCATGTGTAAGTTTTTGTACAGACATGTTTTCATTTCTCTTGGGTATATGCTATATATCCCTTGTGTATAAACTAGAAGTGGGCTTACCGGGTTATATGGCAATCCTATGTTTAATCATTTCAGGTACTGAAATATACCATTTTATATTCCAACCTGCAACTTAGAAAGGTTTCGACTTTTCTTGCCTCTTCACCAACCTTGTTATTATCTGACTATAATGCTTTTTTGGTCCTACAACTACATCTTTTTAAAATGTCACAAATACATACATAACTACACATACATTTATGCACAAGCGTTGACACAGACACACACAAAATTACATAGTTGTACATACTTGCACACACCTCCAGAGTTCACACACACACAGAATCTTTTCGATGTTTTTAATCACATGCACAATTGCACATTCACATACTCACTGTTTATTTCAGTCCATAGACCATATGTGTGAACCAAAGCAGACATGCAGTAGATCAGTACCATCACACAGGTACATACACTTGCTGTTGGGTTCTGAGCAAACATACACATTTGCACACAGAACCAGAGACACATCCAGTTAGTAATGCATTCACACCTGCACAAACACAAATATACAAACAATACATGTGCCCACAAAAGCATCATCCTTAAAAAGCACACATATATGCTTCCTATCACTTATAGGTGAGTATCAGAAAACAGATTGAATACACTTGCTCAGGATGGCATGGAGATGGCTGAGATTTCATTAGTCCTTAGTATACTAGGCAGGAAAACTTTTTCATTCATTCACTGAAGACCTTTTCATTCATTCATTGAAGATATTTTCATTCATTCAAGTACATATTGAGCACACAAGAAATGCAATGGTGGCTCGGCGCCTGTGGCTCAAGCGGCTAAGGCGCCAGCCACATACACCTAAGGTGGCGGGTTCGAATCCCCAGC